CGTCAGTGGATAGCCCAATCGAGTCAGCCTGGAGGTCAAGCGCCTGGATAGAGGTGAGGAGGGCCTACTTGCGGTCTCGGAGATCCCGCCCTAAGTTGGCACCCCCAGCCCTTCATGAATTGGCGAGAGCGCTTGGCGCAGAAATGCCAATCATCCACCGCAGAGATGGACCGGTGGGGAGAGCTGCGGGCCTCCAACCACCGGGCACGGACGGCCTCCGAGAAGCCGTTCTGGTTGAGCCAGAACGTCTCGAAGCGGAACCTGGGGGCGACGGGAGGGCGCTCGTCCTGAGAAGAGAGCAGCAGGGGAACGTGGTCCGAGCCAATACGAGTAATGGCACGAAGGGTGGCAAGGGGACACCGCAACTCCCACTCAGGCGCGACCAGGGCGCGGTCCAGGACGGAGCGGGTCGGGTCGGCCTGGCGATTGGTCCAGGTGAATCTGGCACCAATCTATCTAATTCTCGCAGACCGAGGTCAGTGATGCAGTCGTTGAACATCCGCATCCGCGGGAAGTTCACTCGGTCGTTGTTTTTGTCCTCCGCAAATCGGAGGAGGTTGAAGTCGCCGCCCACGATGACCGGTAGGCGGGCGGCAGACACCTTATTCTTGAGCTCATCAAGAAATGTCGCCGACCGGCGGTGGTCGGCAGGGCCATAGACTATGATGATCTCCCATTTGAAGTTCAGCGCCCTCTCGAAAATCTCCATGCTGACAAAGAACTCCCCCCGGCCCATGCTGCCCATCTCAAAGGTGGCATCCTTGACACCTAAGAGGATGCCACCAGAGTGACCGGCAATCCCACTAGAAGGGAGCCAGTGCCAGGCGAACAGGTGGGGACTAAGGCGGTCAAGCTCGGACAAGGTGAACTCAGTTCGCATGGTCTCTTGAATTGCAACAATGTCGATTCGCTCATCGCGCATGTACTCGATGAGCTGGCGGCGCCGGCCATCCTGGCCGAAACCGCGGATGTTCCAAATAAGGGTCCGCATTAAGCCACCATGGAGGGGCTGCTTGACCCCAGGACACGGGAGGCGCTTTGGGCGTGAAGGGCGGCGCTGCGAGACCGGGTGCGGCCGCGGATCTCCAGGGAGCGGGCGCGGCCTGCCCGGACGGTATGGGGGTGGGGTCGCCCGCCCCGGATGTGGGAGTAGCAAAGCGGGCACGGGTTTCGGCCAACCGCCCATCGAGGACCTCCCGTGCCTGGATAGCCGTGATTTGGACTAAGGTGGGATCGACCTCCTCCCGAGAGGAATAGACTCCAAAGCAGAGAACGAACACGTAGCGGAACTGGCAGGAATGACTGGAGTACCTGGCTCGAGGTTGCGCGCCGCGGCGCGGAGCTCAGCCGCTCGGAGATGGGCAGGGCCGGGGAGCCCGCGGGTCGCGAGGCGTCGATGCGCCGAGATGACGTCACTGGGGTCAACGTCGAGCAGCCCCGCCTGGCTTAGGTCAAGGAGCAAGGCGGGAGAGGCGGAGCAGCCAGCGGAGTCGCCAAGGCGGCGTCCAGCCCGCACCCACCATGCACCTGGGGGTGGGAGAGGAAGCACACCGAGGTGAGGTCGGCGGGGAAGCCGCCCCCAGTGGTGGGGCCGTGGTGGCCGACGGCAACGGCCCGGAGGGAAACAGGATGGCCACCTCGGGCAGCGGCGAAAGCAAGACCACGGGCGGCGGGGCCGGGGGCGTCACAGGCTGCGGAGAAGCGGTCTGAGTGTCGATGGGCGCGAGTGGCAAGACTTCCCCAGAGGCGCAAAGGGAGGCGGCAGGGTCCCCGGATGGCGACGTCCGCAGCAGGGCAGAGGAGGACATCGGCTGAGCGACCGGCGAGCGCGGGGAGGACGCGGGGATGACCACGAGACCCACACTGGAAGTGTCGCTAGGCTCAGTGTCCCCGGCGAGGGGCGACGGAGGCACCGGAAGCAACCCCTCTGGCAGCGCGGCGAGGGACCTCCCGGTCTGCTGCCCACCCAGGGTCGAGGAAGAGGGTGGGGGCCAAGGCGAGGAGGAGCGGGAGGGGTTGTCCTCCGATCCGTCATCATCATCAGAGTGGTCGGGGTGGGGGTGGTGGCGACCATTGTAGTCATCCTGCGGGCCTGGGTGGCCACCAGGAGGACCATCGTCGGAGGCGCGGGGACGCCCAACATGGTTGGGCGGCTCGGGGCGCGATGCGAAGGTCGAACCCTTGATCATTGAAGAAAACCCGGACCGTGGCACGAAGCTTGGTTGAATCAAGGCATTTGACCTTGACTCGAACCTCCTCCTCCTTGCGGAGGGAGAGCTCATCGACCACCACCACCTTCCCCCAGGATCCGGGACATGCGACGGATGGTACGCTAAGACCTCGCAATGTCCGGGAGCCCGGAGATGAGGATCCATGCCGTGTCAAGGACGGCCACAGCCTTCGGGTCGAGGATCGGTTCGGAGATGTCGACGACCAGCTTGTTGAGGGCGAGAGTGATCTGGTCACTGCGTGTGGCGTATCCGTGGCTGAGAGCGTCGGGGAAGACCATAGAGAACTCGATGCCGGAGATAGGGGTGACCGCCCACTCCCACTGCCGGCGGTATAGATGGTTGAGCTCCGCCTCGATCATCTCGGGGGAGGCCACACCATACAATCACTGTGACCACGGCCTGGAGGGAAGGGGGCGGGGGCAAGTCATCGGGGACCTCGATATGGAAGAACCCCAACCCCTCAATCCCATGCCCGTACATCCGCAGCTTGTCGGGGACCGGCTTGTCAGGGCAGAGCAGGGCGGGGTGGCCGGGATCCTTGCAGATGTAGCAGCAGGCGGAGTTGGAGCAGTCAACCTGAGAATGGCCAACCGTGCCACAGTTGAAGCAGGTGGGCCGGGTGGCGTCGGAAACGGGAGCCACAAGCGAGGGATTCACGCGGCCGGCTTGATTCTGAGCGGCACGCCCCTAACCCCGTCTGTTCTTCTTCTTAGCTGGGCCCTGGCGGCGGCGCTGTTGCTGTCCTCCACCCACAGCCCCCGAAGCCGGCGGAGCAGCCGAGGTAGCATGGGGGGCGTACTTGCGGGACGGGGCCGCGTCGACTGGAGCCGCGGGATGGGGCGAGGCGAGGCGCTGGTGCCGGGGCGAGGAGGGGTGCTGGTGCCGGGGCGAGGGGGAGCGTGCTCGACGACGTGAGAGGGAGGGGGAGTGGCGGCGAGGGAGCGGGGAACGCGACCGGCCGCGCCAATCAGACCGGACAGGCGAGCGGGGTGCCTCGCGGCGGTCCTCCCGGCCAGACAGGCGAGGGGCATCGCGGTCCCGGCCCCGCAGCTCATGACGGAGGTCCTCCTCGCGCCGAAGGGCGTCCGGGGAGGGGCGGGAGGCGTCCCGGCGGTCATCAAGCCGGCGTTTGCGCCTGGCCTCCCCATCGTCCCAGTCCCTCGTCATGGCTGAGGGGCGCGAGCAGGAGGAGACGGCAGTGGCGCCGGGGAGAAGGGAAGGGGGCGCAGGCACGAGCGGGAGCAGGGGTACTGTCGAGGAAGGGCAGGTGGCGGCTGAAGGGAATTGAGGACGGTGGGGAAAAGCATAGGGCAGCCATATGCTGGATGCGGAGGCGGTGGGCCTAGGGCAGGGACATGGCCCAGCAATGATGGGCCGGCCCACCAGGGCTACCCCAGCCGGGACCGGATCCAGAACGCGACGGGCCGGGCTGGCAATCCTCCCCACACTGGCCACCGGGCCACGGCCCAGAACGCCAGGGCCCAGGGAGCGGGGTGGGGTACCCACTCGGAGGGTTTCCCCTCGACGAGCAGGCGCCGCCGCCGCCGGCTCCGCGGCCGCGGGGGAGCATGGCGCGAACGGCCGGACACGAGGCCTGGAACTGAAGCCCGGAGGATCCAAATCGCGCAATAAATGGCCGGAACGGAGAGCTGCGGGCGGGGAGAGCAGGACCGGGCGCCACGGTCGAGGGGCTCGGGCAGGGGCACGCGGACGACGGGCCAGTGGCCGGAGGGGATGGGGAGGAGGAGGCCGGGGAGGACCTCCACGAGGCATGGGCAGGTCCAAGGTTGGACCGTCCGGCGACGCCCCACGAGCGAGTCCGGCTCCGGCGAGCACCACCGCGCCCCAAGACCCGGCCTTTCACACTGGACCCCGGCCACCGCGGCGGCAACCTCCGCGAGCCCGAGTCGGAGCCTCTCACGAGGGAGGCTGGACATGGGGCCACGCTGGGCGGTGCGGCTACAGCGGCGAGGACCAGGCAGCAGGGTGGGGAGGGCGGGGCAGGCGAGCGGGGCGGCTCGGGGTCCGAGTCCTCGTCCGCGAGATCCGACCACCGGGGCGGCGGCGGGG